GGCTGCTGTGGGGGGGGGTGGCTGCGGTGTGGGGTGCTGGCCTGGCTGCTGTGTGGGGTGCTCCTCTGGCCCTAAGCACAAAGGGGCTGGGGCCAGGGCCCTGCTGCCACTCCGTTCTCCGTGCCCTTGGGCAGGTTGCAGCATGTCCCTGTGCTCCTAGTTCCTCATCCATAAGACAAGAGTTAGTTGCTGTGAGGAGAGGTGATGTGAGCGATCCTTAGAAGACTCGTGAATGTCTGTGAGTCTGTGGCTGGAAACGACTGCTCAGCTGTGGTAGCTCTTCCCTCCTCACCCCATGGTACTCCCTTTCCTCTCTCCACATCCAGCACAGCTGGGTGACTGGCAACTGAGAAGAGGCAGAGGACAGGGGAGCTGGAGGGGTGGATGAGAGCACCTGTCAAGGGCCTCTGTGAACAGAAGGCTGTCTGAGCCCAGACAACTCCCTGTGACAGGCTTTGCTTTCCAGACCAATCAATCTCAGCAGCTGAGGACAGGAGCCAATCACCCTGATACCTTCCCTCCCTTGTCTGAATGCTAATCTCTCTGCTGGGGAGAGCCTGAGTGGCAGGGAATAGGCTGCTCTGAGTCGTGGGGTGGCCAAGGGCAGCAGCCTGAGCAGAGAGTATGCTGCTGGCTGCTGCTTCTGGGGCTGACACTCAGGATTGCTGCCTGTCCCTCCTGGAGACTGGAACATGACCAGAGAATGAATGAGGTGCTGTAGTGGTTCTAGCAGCTTCAGCAGCCATTGCTGTCCTGCACCACCCTGAAGTGCAGAAGAGACTCTGGGGGGAGGGGTTACCCACCCACCCCAAATGTGTAGAGTGTGTTTGCATTCAGAGCATGGCAGAGTGCTGGCCAATCCCGGTCTATGTGAAACCTGGGGCCCAATTTGAGCCAGGCAAGAGCAGAACAGGGTACTTCACTTTCCTGGCTCCATGGGCATCCAGGGCCCTTTGGAGGGGCTTTGCTGTTAAGGAGAAGCTGAGCCCCAGGGTGGGAGGAAAGTGCTGTTTCTTTGTGAGCCAGAAAATAAGGAGAAGGGCAGAGTGGCTATGCTGAAGCTTACATTAACAGATGCTAACGACACTAATAACACTGTTAATAATGGCTAATATGCATCAGACACTTATTATAATACGCCAGGCACTGTGCCCAGTGCCTTATTTATAAGTGTGGTCTCATTGATGGGGCAGGAACTGTTGTTAGCCTCATTTACCTAATAAGGAAAACAAGGTCACAGCTGGCAGTGAAGCCGGGACCCGTGTCTCAGAATCTGGTGCCAAAGCTGATGGTACAGAGGTCTTGATGGTAGATGAGGGCTGTGAAGAAATTCAGGGTGTGACCTACCTACAAGGACACAGGGCCCGGAGCTGTAGACCTGCCTGCCTGTCTGCAGGTGGGCCAGGGTTGCCAGGGTTTTCTGTTGAGAAGTGAGGAATGGGAAATGAGAAACAGGTTACTGTTTTCTCTTCAGGTGCATGTCAGTCAAAGGTAGGCCAGATCCTGGGATCCAAAAGGCTAGTCCTTGCTTGCCAGCTGAGGACAGCAAGGAGAGCCCGCCTCCTTAGGATCCATTGCTGCCCCTGAAGTGGGAAGTGGTGGCCCCTAGTGGGGATGACAGACAGCAAGGCCGTCACTCACAGTCACTGTCACTTGCCACTCAGTTGTTTCCTTCAACTAGGGCCAGGACCCTGGGGAGAGGGTGACAGCCAGCAGCCTAGCTGCAGGGCTGAGGAAGGCAGCAGCTTTGGTTTGTTTGTTTACCAGGGGGAGGGTGTGGGGCATGGAGGGCAAGAAGGTGGCTGCCGGGATCCACTGACCTACATTAGGACCACAGAGATACCTGTGCCCCCTAGTGGGGGGTTAAGACCAAGGCGTGGCTATGAAAACTCGAACAAACAAAAAGGATTTAATGACAGACTCTAAGCATATGAGCCAGTCAAGGAGCCAGTCTCATTCCTATGTACACACACACACACACACACACACACACACACACACACCAGCACACACCCAATTGCATGCTGCATGCATAGACAAAAGCCACATGAATTAAGCACTAAGAAAGCCTGTGTTCATCTGACTGTTTATTTGCAAGCGTGTAATGGGAGGCCGTGACAGACAAATATCAAGAGATGCTGGGAGTGATGCAGCAGTGACAGCTGCCCTGCCCTGCCCTGCCCTGCCCTGCCCTGCCCTGCCCTGCCGCTTAGGACCATAGGAGGATCCCGGCAAGGAAGTCTAGTTCCACTGGCTCCGCTCTGCCAACTCAAAGGAATTCTGTTCTCTAGACCTCAGTTTCCTCACGCAGTAAACACGTTAATTCTGTGTGGCCTGGAGCTGAGACGTGAGGACCTAAGCTGTGGAGAAAATGAAGGGAGGCGGCAGATGACCTCCAGGGGTCCCCTAGATTATCCCCACCGAGACAGACCATGATGGGCTGTGTCCGGAGGTGTGACAAAGGTGTGCCTACATGACGATCAGGTATGTAGTGTCCTCGTGCCAGGATACAAAGCCAGACTCGGGCCACCTGTCAAATCCAACCAGAAACTGGACAAGATATAAGAAACAGGCATGACAGTGGGTGCCACAGACAGTGACCTGGTGACTTTTGGCCTCTGCTCAGAGACAACCCTTTGTCTGGTGCTCAGGAAAGGGAAACCAGAACAGGTGAAGAGACAGTGGTGACACACAGAAACAGAAGCAGCGATGACAATTCAACAGGACACAGAAAGCATGAGAGAGGAACCAGCTGCACTCACACACGTGTCCACAGAAGTGAACTGACATGCGTGTTTGAAGACTGGAAGGGAGCGTCCGCCAAGCGAGTGTCTGAAGATAGATGGCCAGGCTGTGGCTCAGTGCTGGGGTGCTGGACTACCGTGTGCAAAGCCCCTGGGGTTCAGTTCTTGGCACCACACACAAACCCCGAAACAAGCTAGGCACTGTGGTGCACTTGGGAGTAGAGACAGGTGGATCCCTGAGAGTCTGAGGCCAGCCTGGTCTACAGAGTGAGCTTCAGGCCAGCCTGGTCTACAGAGTGAGCTTTAGGCTAGCCAGGGCTACTACATAGTGAGACCCTGTCTCAAAAAACAAAACAAATATCTAGAATAGATATGGCTCCAAGGCAAAGATTCTGTGCTCCTCTTGCAGAGGACCAGGGTTCAGGTCCCCCACCCCCTCACGTGGCAGCCAACAACAATCTGTTACAGATCTGATGCCCTCTTCTGAACTTGGAGGGTTCTCACATGTGCGTGGTGCCCATGTAGACACATATGCATGCTTATAAAAGTAAAGAAATAATTTAAAAACTAGAACTAAGAACTTTTACAGCTCGGGCTGGAGAGCTGGCTCAGCAGTTACAGGCTGCTCTTCCAGGAGACTGGAATTCCATTCCCAGTACCCACATGGCAGCTCACAACTGCCTGTAACTCCAGTTCCAGGGACTCTGACTCCCTCTTCTGGCCTCTGGGCACTGAATTAACATGAACCCCCCCCATACATACACACAAAGAAAAGTAAAATATTTGTTAAATGAACTTTCACAAAAAACAAAACCAAAACAAGCCGGGCAGAGACAGGTGGACCTCTGAGTTCGGGGCCAGAACAGCTAGGGCTACACAGAGAAGCGCTTGTCTTGAAAAACCAAAACCAAACAAGACCAAAACCTTTTCAACGATTAGTACAATTTTTAAAAGCGGAAGGGGAGGGTAGTTGACAGTGGCAGAATGCAGATGGATGGCTGACTCAGGCCAGGGCTGGATATGGGATCTGACTGTAAAAACAACAACAAAAAGGCATGTGGGCTCTCAGGGTGGCAAAGGTTTTGAATTTTTTTTTGATTACGTTTATATGCATGTGTTTGCTTCCTGGACTCTAACAGTGCATTTCGAATATATTTTATACCTCAATAAAGAAGGCTTACAGGGTTAAAAGCAGAACAAGAATGAAGACCTAATCGTTATTTGCTCATAGTCTGGCAAAAAAAAAAAAAAAAAAAAAAAAGTAAGATATGAGCAAACGTGGCGCAGGCCTCTAATGCCAGACATCAGAGAAGCTAGTTATAAGTTCAAAGCCAGACAGTTCAACTTTAGTGAGATCCTGTCACCCATTCCCAAAAAAAAAAGCAAAAAGAGGGGAGGGGTACTTGTCTTGCATGAATGAGCCCTAATGCCTGGGAGGGAGGGGGGAGGAGGAAGGAAATTATGATAAAGAGTGGAATGGGGTTGGGGAGACAGCTAAGCAGTTAAAGGACATGTTGCTCTTGCAGAGGGCTCCGGTTCAGTTCCCAGCACCCTCATCAGGTGGCTCAGAACTGTCTGATACTCTGTGGCCTCTGCAGGCATCTGCACACATAGTGCATGGAAGCCCAAGCAGGCCACACATGTGTGCATAAATGTAAATATCAAAAAAACAGTGTGTGTGTGTGGGGGGGGCTGGAGAGATGGCTCAGCGGTTAAGAACACTGACTGTTCTTCCA